TAGCTCAGAATAGGATACATGATATCATATTTAATGATTTATTCAAGCGTGTTGAACCTTCATAAGAGCAAGGAATAGGGCAGCTTACAACTCTGGACAGCATGTGGCTTTATAACTGCACACGTGCAGTCCTTAATGTCCAATAGCTTGCGATTAGGCGAAGTCGTTAAAGTCGAAAACAATATATGTGCTAACTTTGCAGCAGCTTCAGGTGTCTGAGCCGGCATAAATAAGTCATTGTTTGCAAAAATATCATTATCTTTAGCATTTGAACCATAAACGACCTCTCTAAGAACCCTGTTCGCATCACGGCGCATTAATTCCAACGCAATCAATCCACCACTCGAAAGGACACTTGTTAATTTACTAAAAATGAAAAAAATGTGACGGATCTATGCATAATATTCTACAAAAACCCCAGCAAAAACTTACTCTAAATCTTTACATTCACAAAAACCGCCAAAATACTTTCGTACATCCATATTATTCAAGTATAATACTTTAAGATTAATTATTTTGAATCCTTGGTCTTCGAGACTGGTGATATATTTCCCAGCAGTGCACGTTCCTGAAGGCGAAATAACACATACACACCTTTAAATAAAAAAGTTGAAAGCAGCTCACCTTTCTGAATTTCCGGCTAGTGCTTTTGCGGTGAAATCATTAGCAAAGTTGGTAACACACAAATGCCGAGACAAGATGTTGACAGTGCCACCAACGTATAAATCCAATAGCCTAATTTCCGGCTGCCTTATTCTCCGCAAAAAAAGTTTGTTGCGTTTTAGATCATGCTAATGATGCACGTAAACCCCCTACGAAAGCAATACCATTTCTATTGAATTATCACATGGAAAGAAGTTAAGCTTGTATTTTTCAATTCGACCCGAATCATCTTTGAACCATTCGACAATGAATGAATAGATAACCGACTCATCCTACACTTTTATGAATGTAACTATTAACGACTTGCCATTATTTGAGGACGAAACTGCGCGGGGCGTGGTGCGCATGGGTATTAAGGGGTGTAGTTGTTAATTCAAACACTATAGTTAATTACACTTAGGTAATGTTTCGAAGTATTAACGTGACGCCCGATGCAAACCACAAGCACGGGTTTGTGTGAGAGCTAAATTAGCAGCATCAAATAACGACAACGACATTAATTTCATTTAGTCTTCCTGGGGCATATTCATGCTCCAAAATGATAAGGAGGTGTTTAAAGCTTTTTTCCATTTAAAAAAATACTGTTTAGCTTTGGGTTACCTGCAGGTATCAAAATTACCAAAAGTACACAATTCTTCCTACTTTACTCCGGGCAATTAATTAAGAACAGTTTTTTAGCAAATTTAACGCGTCTTTATCAATTACTTTTTCTCTAACTTCTAATACGACAATTAAATATGTTCACTAATCCCTTATAGTCAAACTCATATGTGGAGCGAGACTCATCGATTTCCGCTTCCCTATTCCTAGCGTTCCTAGACAAGCCCGATTGGTTTACTTTGGACATCTTTATTAAAGACGACAAGATGTATAGGGAAAATACAATGTTCAAGAAGGAGGGGAGCCGCAGCCACTAGGTAAGGGAGAGGACGATCCAGTCACGAGATTCGAATTTCCTGATTGCCTCCTCCCTGAAAGGTACCTTAAAACAACATAAGTATTACATACATCTATTTTACATCCTCAGCCATGAATTGTCGTCACAAATCCTGTTAGTGGCACGTCTTGCTAGATGCATATACTAAAATTTTATTAAACCTTGAAAACGTATTCACTGCGTGGAGCACATATTTGTACGGTGTACAAGCGCTGCATTACCCGCGTCCTGCCGTAGAGAAAAGGTGAGGTTACTGACATGGCTCGGAGGTCAGGCCGTCGAGCAGAAGTGTAATCTGTTGTAATACGATAGTGGTTCATCCCTCGGCACTGGTGAGGCGCCACTTTTGTACTTTGAATAAGCCCCCTTTTACCTCGCTGGGTGGGCTGGCCTTTTGGGCCATGCCAATAGCCCAGACACCTTCTCTGCGCTGAATGTATATTCTGCCCGAGTATTGTGTCTTCTTCCATCTTCAGGGAGTTCCGGGACGCTACATTGTGGAGACCTAAGTTCACGTGTAATCCAACGCAGCATTGAACCAACTATTAAAGCTGCACAACCCTATTTTGCAGTTTTAAGTATGCGCATAGGAGAATAGGTTGGTTTAACGTCATCCGTAGGTAAATAATAAATGGCAAGTGCAGTTAAATGCAGAAGGTTTTAGAAATGTATTTGATGCTTTCTAAAAGCATATTTTACTGAACCTTGGTTCCTATGCTCAAATTGGCTGCGAAAAATTTGCAATGCAATTGATCATGGTATTTTGAAGCCTGCAAACGATATTGGGAAAATATTTTGAAGAAGATGCATGGAAATGAAGAACGTTAATGTTATGTACACGTGGGAAAACATCCACCAAAGACGAATAATTGAGTCGGAAATAAGAACTTTGGTGGGAAGCGGTTACATTTGATTTACCATTGAGAACGGAAACGGAACTACCGAAGAGGATACGGGAAAGTGTAGCAATATGACATTTTAAATAGATGCACCAAGAGGACTGCAAACGGATTCTGTTAATTTAATTCTCCATGCAAACAGTATCCTACATCTTGTGTGTGGCTGGTAATGATCTAAACAACATTTGGTGTGATCATCTGTAGTAAGCTTCAAATGCATTTTTTTTACAGAAGGAGAGAAACTAAACTAGTTGCACGTTTATAAAATTTGTAGTTAAGATATTCTGTTTTCCTAAAACACCCTGACCAAGTCCATGTCTTCAGAAAAACACTCCATTCAGATAATTTCAATGAAGTAGAATAAAACCACAATAAAGAGTAACTTCCCTGCTCCCAGGAATTTCACTCGCAAAGGCATTAAAAAGTAATTGCCAGCCTTGTTATTTTGAGTAACGACTTTACATAGTTTTGTGGACTTTTTCCAAACTGAGGAAAAGACATTCGAAATTCAAGGATAAAATAAGCTCCTCAGACTTGTACGATTCTAAAAGACTTCTGGTGAGACGCATTTAAGCACGCAGTGCTAACCAATCAGTCCGCTTTTTACATGTAATTAATATTTGAACTAACTTTGGTTCTGCGCATTAAATGGACTGCATCAGTATGTGCAAGTTTCTGATATTTTATGTTTAATTTTCATATTTAGGTGATCTAAGCATAGGAAAGGGTACAAGTTTAAATAGCCAGCCTTGCATGCGCAAGTTTTGCGTTCTGACTGATGATTTCTAAGAGCCGCGGAAATGGGCATTCCTGAAATGGATAAATATTTAGGGCGTTGCAGCGGTGGTCGGTGTCCGGTGGCTGCTTTGCCGATTTTATCTGTACTTTAAGTCATCCCCGCCTTAACATGCAACTAAAAGGAAGGAAGTGATTTTCATGCTATATTATGGATCGGGCGCATACGCAAATTGAAGCTGATAGCAGATGTAAACAGTGCATTAATGGCTATGTTTTCAGCAACACGAACTCGTGGAAAGAAATTTAAGAAACAAATTGACAAGGATGATACTCACGCAAAATACCAAACACCGTAGTCTGAGTGAAAAATGTACGTTGATTCTCAGTAAAATTGTAAATCATATGTTTGGTTTTTTTTCAGTGACACCAACATTAAACCCCAGTTGCCCATGCCGTCAAGAACTGATACAAGTAAAGGTCTGGCACACATGCTTTGTGTACCCCAAGTAAAAATCTGATTCCTTAAAATAATCTGGTAGATTTGACCTAACCGTACCAAAGAGTGCTTACTCAAGGTGGGAATTCCCTTATTCCGCTTTCCATCGACAAATCGGCCAACGGCAAAGGCGGACAAAAATACAAAACTCCGAAACTCTAGATTAACCTCCTTCAAACAAGGCTTAGAGAGATTGTAATTTTCAAGGTTAAATGGTGTGTGTTTTATGGCATCCTAATGCAAGAGCAAGAGTATAATGAAATTTGCATTTGGGACCTCGAAAATGTGAAATAGATTGTGCACAAATGCAGGATGAGAGATTTGGAGGCTCACACCCTTAATTGAGTGATGGTCATTAACTCCGAACTTTGGAATGATTTCGCTTCCACGTCTCACGATCTTCCTGATTTGTGGACTGGTGGAGCAACACCCCACCGACTCTCCTGCATAGAATAATGTCTATTTTTTGAACCGTGAGCTACCAAAAATTCATTTAACTGCAAATCGAAACGCTACTATCTTAAATTTTTTTGCCTTTAACAATTCCTAAAAAGTGGATATAGTGTGAAACTATGGTATACTTATCCACTAAATATAGATGCCGCATTCAAAATTGGTCCCACCGCAAAGTGTATTTACATGCCAGTTAAATGGTGGAATTAAAAACTTGGTTTCGATCTAATTATGGAAATATTGAGGTTCTAGAGGTCGGGGCTCCTTGTAAACGAGTAAAAGCACTCGGCCTCATAAAATTATTATTAACTAGTTGCCCTACCAAGAACTAGTCATTAAAACAAAAACGAGTATTCACTTTGTTTTACTAAGGCACTGATTAGGGCAGCATGTTACTGGTGTAAACTTACTTTTTTTGGATAGCCACCTAGATATTTATTGTTACGTGAATGATGGATGCTGATTTTTCCAGATTTTCACAATATGGCCTTTGTTAACGGAGCATCACTATCGCAAGTCAAACTGGAGGTCTTACCTTGTTTGTTAAAGCAATGTAGAAAACTCTTCGGTTGCACAACAAATAAACAAGTTACAAATAGATGTGCCACCAATTTCAACTCACTAAGGTTAGCAAAAAATAAGGGATAATAAGTGAAGCACTTTGTGCCATTTCATTTAGGGAGCAGTCGAGGTGTAAAATTATAATCGTGATGATTTCGGGGGTCAAGAATTAGTGATTCGCGAATGATTTCATTTGTCCTAACTGCAATCACATTGAAAAGCCCCAACAAGCAAAATTTAAATACAGCCTATGAGCGCTTAACCTTTGGGCCTCTTTGATTAGGAGTGGTTAATTCCATTTGAGTTGGGGAATTTGTGCAATAAATTTTGTTCCGGAAGTAAAATCACTTGAACAAATTTCGGGGAATGTTTGTCCACATGACACAGGAAGTTTTGTAATTTTCACATAGTGTTATAAGTGCTCCAGCAGGTGGTACGATTAGATAAAGCGTAAAGTGAGGTCTATAGCAGAAATAGTCCGGGGAATCTTTTTCGGAATTTACTTGGAATAGATAGCAAGAAATTGGTTGCTACAGCTGCATGAGGACAGGATGTTTGGCACTTTCGTACCTGTTTTCCCGTTGCAAAATTAATTGAAAGTAAAAGAGTAGACACCTTTGTTCGCTTTCATGCAATTGAGGTGGGAGCTCATTTAACAGACCAGTCACCAAGAGCATGCGAGAAATTAGGTGGCTTAATATCCGAGGGAGTGTGGCGGAGGAAATGGTGTTTATGTTACGCGACTAGTCGCCATTGTGGGTCTGTGGTAGTTGCAATCACCCTTCGTGCCTCATTAATGAGTTTCGAAAGAAAAAATCACTCTCCTAGAGGCCGTAGGATGGTAATTCTGTCGTACAATGCCAGATAACGAGTTTGCAGAGCGGGAAGTTGACGAATCCTCATTGCTTATGCAGCGTACTCTCCCTGGTAAAGGGGTATGACATCGACCTGTCAGTTGAGCTGAGCTGAGGATAGACAAATCCTCACAATCAATTGAATAGAAAGAGAGAGGGTTAAAATGAACAGTTAATTACCCAGAAAATGAACATGAATACTGTTTCTGCTAAGTTGTACTACTTAGGAAAAAGCATAAATAAAAGTTAACGTATAGATTAATTAAAAAGGGCTACTTTGAAAACTATTCTGACAGCCGAATAGACTTAAATGATTCCATGATTAAACAGCCTTCTATTTTGTTTCAAAAGAATGGATATCCCTTTTTAAACTGTAGCTCAACACATATTGCATACACTTTTCACGAAAACTGAAGATTCGGCTGTTGTGTAACACAATTAATGTTGCAGCATACCCATCTTTCTTCCTCTACCTTTAGTCTTCACAGGTTAGTTTGCTCAAACAAAACAAGGTGATAATAACGCAGATTTCAATCACGTTTCTGTTCATTGATGGCTCGAATAGGCGCTCTTTCGAATGCCATCACCATCGTAATGCATAGTGGCAAGTATTTAATTGGGAATGACAATAGATGCATTCGCCCAGGTGATTTCCCTTTGCGACTGTCTGAGCAGTGCCATATCTGATTGGCTGCGATGTGTGGACGGGACTTTGCATTGGCTGATCATTAGGTTTAAGTACAACGATACGAAAACACTACTAGAACGTCGGCCTTCGCAACAATACGCTTCCTACTTTTGTTAAAGCAGAATCGGTAATCCTCGGATAATTTTCACCACTTTAGTGTTCTCATATTTGCTTTTACAAAAGTAAGGTCTAGGCAGTTGATGCATAATATTTTAAACGCTCCCTACTGCATAATTCGAGCATCCGTGATGCTGATGCTATTTAATCTGTGCGAGTTTCATGTCCTTACTGAAATCTTGCTTTTCAAACGGTCCAATTTCATTGTACCTTTCATATTTTCGTTTTTTAACAATTTGAGACTTATGTAACAATGTGTGGGTTAACGCGGAGGGAGTATCATGCATATTTTACAAGAGATGTAATAACTGGTGAATAGTCCATCTATTACTTCAAATTCCTGTTCTTTTCCTTAGAATTTGATACAAGCATGCCTTCCCATCGGGTGATCCAACGTGTGGTGGTGGTTGGAATGATCTTCTACCTCCTCAGCAAGGGAATCTGTTCAACTATAAGTGCGAGGAGTAATGAAAAGGGTACATCTCATATCCTTTCGCAGAACATAAAAATTACTTAGATCGAAATACTGCTAATAAAAATGGTAATCAGTGCCACGAGTTGTCGTCTTGCACGATTAGTCAATTTTTCCCAAGTACACTCGCCGCGAAAAGCTTTGACATTTTAAATTGACGTTAGCTACGTTCAAGTGTCTCTATGTCAAATTAAGTAGAGAATGCAGGAAATGTTTCTTTATCATGAAAACCCACAATCTACCTTCCAGTTCCCAGAATACAAAAGCGTCGTATGTGTTGCAATAACATTCTTTATAATCAAGGCAGAAAATACATTAAAGAAACTTTGCTTTTACTATAACCGAAGCTTAAGGCCTGACCCAAATTAAAAATTTGAAAAGTTGCATCCATCTGGTTATTGTGCTCCTCAAGCGGGAGAACCAGCCAGGATGTTAGGTTAGCAGTACATGATTTACTAGAGCTCCAAAACAAAATTAAGAGCAAAGGTTTTAAGCGAATTGCCTTTTGTTATTTTGGTGAAATCAATATGATTTCTTTGGGTGGTTTTAAGGTAGGAGCTATAAGATGCTATGAAATTTCGAACAGCCGAATCATCAGTTTAGCAATCCCTTCTTCCACTGCTACCTCTCTCTAACAATGGCCTCTTAGTAAAAAGAATTAATATTTAGTTTGTAATATGTTTTAAAGATGCCAAAAAGAAAATAGCCAACGAGTGCCCAGAGAGTTCACCCTGGCCATGTCGTGAGCCCGGGTTCTGTCTATCATTTGATTTCATCTGCGACGGCGAGCTCGACTGCCCCGATGGCTACGACGAGGATCGGGAGATGTGCACAGCAAGTACGCATTGTATGCGCTTTAAGCAGCTACGTGGAGTAACTTGTTTTGCTTTTTCTCCTCGGTATACTGTTCTGCGCCTAAAACGAACCTCTTTCAAACAAGTTGCGCATCAAATAAAATGCTGCTACTTTAAATCTGGTTTGCATGCAGTTAAGCACACGGAAGTATGTTCTCAATGCGCATCAGCAAGAGTCCGCACCATGCCTTACTGGCACCACAAAAACTAATGTTGAAATTAGTAAGCGACGAAAGTTTAGTCATGGTTCAAATAAAGACAGCAAAACGTATGCGGTTACCATTATCAAGCCCATTTGGTGGCAAAATACAACGGACCTTCATGAAGCGAAGACGGGGTTATAGGGAACACAGTCTTTAGAAAACTCTCCTTGACTACTTTTTGAAAGTGTTAAATGAAAGACGCATGGCACACCTTTGAATTGTTTATGAATGTAACTTTTTAGTAAGCATTAAAAGTAGTCACTTCTTTCAGCACTAATAAATTAATAATTTACACCAGAACGTTTGAGTAGCTTCCATTGCACGGTAAACTAGTTTGTTCCCATTAATTCAGACATCGTATCATAAGTCAACTCAACAATTCGCAAGGATTGATGTTGCAATCGTTCGGTGTATTATGCGGTGGCTTCGAAGAAGAAGGATTTTATGCTATCATACCTTAACACTACACAAAGTCGTCTGTGTGGACTTGTTAAACAAGTTTGTTTTAAATATAATCAGGTTAATGCTAATGATATGTGGACTTCTACAAGACGAGATTTGGACAAGAAGAATGGAGACCTCTAGGTGCACAATGAGGTGGACCATAGTTGTTTTTGATCCTAGCACTTACCAGCCTTATACCAATGGTGACCACCTCTTTTATGTGTACGATTTGAACTTCCACGCATTCATTTAGATAGCAGAGAACATCAGACGGCTTAGGTCCACTGCTTCACTAAACCCTTCCACAGCCAGATATAATAAATCAGGTTTAAAAAGCATTACACTAAATCTAGTCGTTCAAGCATAAATAGGAATAGTTTTAGACAAGAGCATGAGAATAATTGCGTTTTTTAGACTCATATATATGTGAGATTTGGAAGAAGTGAGCGCCGGGGTCTGTTCTGTGGAAACTGATGAATAATAAAGCTTTCACAGTGTACCGTGAAAGGCTATGGTATTAACTTGTAACTCACTGCATCTAAGCATGGAATATACTCTTCCTGGGACTGAGAATTCGCATTTGGAGTGGATGCTGAAATTTCGGTGCGGTACTCCCATTTTTACATCCACTGTAAAAAAAATTAAGTGGAGGCTCCCTCCGTGGGGAAAAAATTAGTCATAAAAGCTGCCATTATAAGGCTGACAGTGTTCCGGTTAAAAGTTATTCATCTTTTTCACTGTTGCTCCTTTTGTCAATGTCCAACTAACGGAAATAATAGCGCAAATGCTCCGATTCCTGAAAAATCTTAAACCATTTCCCCTGTGACAACATTGTAGCCTGCACTTCACTGGTCTGGTGTTCTCATATGGGAATTCTTTCCAAACATGTTCCAAAAGGATACGGTGAACAGCTCGTGCAGTTTGTAGACTGCAGTAGTAGAGCCATTTAATTTTTTGGCTAAAGGCTTTTACAGGCTAAAGACCCATATTCCGCCTCCTCTATTAGCAGTAATGTCTCTCAAATGATTCTTGAAACGACCGGCAGTAAAAATAAAAGGTCTAGTTGGATCTCGCAGTATTCAACTTAAATATTTTTTTGGATTTTTGAATAAACTTGCAGAAGAAGCCAAAGTAAATCATCTGTCTAGATTTACACTTAGTGTACCTTAGTTCTTATGCATCCATTAATTAGTTTTTATTGATATAAATGACAGTCATTTTCATCTGTTTAACGCGGTGAAAAGAGGGCTTAGATCAGTGTTTCGGTATTTTAGCAGACATTACTATCAATTACGTCGAAGTGTTTTGAAGATGCACTAAATCATGCTTTTTAGAGGATAGGGTATTAGTTAAAATAATATTGGATCATAAGCAGCTAGCACCAGCAATAGGTGACATTGGCGTTAAGGTGCATGATGAATACGGTGAGTGAGGCGGCTTCAGATTTTTGCGTTGAACTGTTTGGCGAAGTGGACATTTGTTGTTGCGGCCTCTTCAAGCCGGTGATAATAATGCAACTCCAATGCCCTTTGTAATATGGCCGGGGCTCCTAGCCCTGCTACCCTTCGCCTTAGCCCATATGTATAGATAGGGCCAACAAACTATATTTAAATAACCGGCTTTTATTTTGTAATAAAATTTTTTTTCGTGATTCGCCAACATCGTCTACAAACTCGGATCATGCTGTAGTTTAGCGCCTCAATTTTCAGTTGAGCTTCAAAGTTTGACGCAGTCTCATTCAGGTTCGTTAAATGTATCGTGTTTTGTCAATAAATTAACTAAAGCGAATCACTTGGATCGGTGCATTCCCTCGTGAGTTGGCGCACTTAACCTTTGAGACTTCCCTGTGCCACAGCTGGACCGGCAATCTGCAAGCACCATCGTAGAATGTGGCTGCACTTCTGACTAATCATGCTAGAGAAAGTTATAGACACGTTAAAGCTAGATCGGTGTTCTAGATTAGCTTTATTAATTTCGCATTTCCTTCCTGGCTAAAACAGGTCTGCTCTTGCATGCCTCAGTTGAATCGCATTGTGCGATTCGCTTCTTATTTTAAGCGGTTTCCTACTTCATAAGCAACTTGGAGGAGCGTTCATTTCGTTTTTAGTGGTGTGCGACTTAAGAAGATGCCTCAAGTGCCATGGATTCTAGTATAAATACATATTTTAATACGTAGACGAAGGAGAGGCAAAATGGATATGTCGCCATTAAAACTGCTTCATGGCATTTTCTTTTAAAACCTGGTACTGGCCTCAACAAACCTTTCCTTGACATTAATACATGTAAAGTAGCGTTTGTGATCCGCTGAAATAGTTTATTTACTTTCCCTTAAACACTTCAAATGCGATTGAAAAACATGAAAATGGACTTTTTTAAAAGATACTACCGTTCCGCTAACCACAAAATTTTGAAAGCTTGCATGGAATGGTTTTGAAGAAATTCCTATATTCGTTTAACTTGAGAAGTTACACCTTTAAGTGCCAAACTTGAGATTTACATACAGTTGCATTACGACTTGATTATTTCTTTGCTGTAATATTTAGGAAAAATTTTGTAAGCATCCTCCTTTTCCATGAATGACATAAAAGCGATTGTATTTTAACGTTATATCAGACAAAGAATACTTGATTTTAACACCCCGGACATCGATGATGCGATATTTTTCAAGCATTAACCACTACGAAGATAAAAAACTGGACTAACACACATTGAATATGTTAAGTAAAGTACAGTCTGATTTGCTGTCTTTTGCAGAGCAAAGGCCTCCTATTGAGTATCTCTTCCGCTTCATTCAACGATACCAGGACTGGCTGATTCCCACATTTTTGGGCAAGGGTACTCCACTCGAGTTGGCCAAAAAACTTGTGGGTAAGCGTATTCATCCATGTGAAGGGGTCAGTCGTACGGAGCGGTTGAACTTCGGGGAAATAGAATCTGCCTTATTCAAACTTTCTACGAATACGATACCTGTTCATGGAAAATCCAGTTATCCTCTTTAATGTGTAGTTAGAATATTTCAGCAGGAGAAGCTTCCTTGCATAAGTTCAATTCGTTTAATGGTCATATTAACTGGAAGTTTTAACTTCACTCGCTAGTCCTCGCCAGTTATACTATAGAATTAATTTGTGATGCTTTGGCAGGGCTGTCTTAACCAAAATTAGGTAAGAAATTAAGATACTGTTTTGTGGCAGTAGTAAGTAGACAGTTTTCTAAAATGCAGTTTCGTAAGTTTCGAATGAGCACTGACAACCCATAATATATGTATGAATGGGCATTTGGAACTCGCATTGTCGTAGCTGGTTGATTACAACGCCTGGATAGAGATATTATGACCACTTGCAGACGAAAAATACGCCTTTTTAGTCTTTTTTTAAGTTATTGTTGCTGTGTACAAGAACAGCAGCAAATTATTACGACGTAGAACATTATCAGGAGATAAACCAACCAACAAAACAGTATTACGCAAATGAAATGCTATCTTGAAAAAGCCGCGTCTTACAATGGCGTTGCGTGCAGTGGAACACCACCAAACTCCGTGGATACCTCCTATTTGAAGCCAATAGCCTCTGTAATTTGCATACTAAGTAGTAATGACTGGAAGTATTTAAAATTCCAGGAGAGCTTGAAACCAAGCTAATCTTTTTTAAGAAAAGTTCTTTTATATAGAGAAACTTTCCTAAGTTGACTTCAAAAATTCACTTATTTCAATGTTTTATTACCAAACCACCTTTGTTGGAGAAGGATATTTAAAATTATTCAATCCTGATATTTGGAAATAATATTACTCACTCAACTTATCACCGAGCATTCAAATACAGCTATCATAACTTAGGACCAAATAGAAACTAAGTGATTTGTGAGAAAATCGCCTAATTGAGTCTCCATCTCAAAGGGTGCGGAAGAAAAGTACTGTGAATAGATGGCATAGTTTACAGTTCACTTTAAGGTGGTGTCTAATTGGGACTGAATAATCTTTAGGGGAAAGCGGATGTTAAGATGATTCGTTCCACGAGCTTCAGCGTGTACTATTACAGGCTATCTTTGACTTTTGGAATAAATAGACCTCGTTTGCATTAATAACTTCAACAACTCTTAGTCATCCTACGAGCTGGACTGTTAATTACTCAAGAGAGTTTGTCTGGTCGTTTAAATTAAAAGGCAGAATCAAATATTTGGCACAAATTTTATGTTTTTAAAAATTTTGTTTTACCACTGGTATCATATTTGAAGCGCAGGTGGTTAAAAAACAATGCAACAATTCTTGCACTTCAATCACCCTTGACTAAAAAATTGATTTGAAATCAAATATGAAGTAGAGTGAGCGCAAGAAAACAAGGCTAAAAAGCTGTGGAGGAAGCTTTGTACCGCGTTCTGTCGAATCCACGCTAACTAACGGACGTGCATTGCAGAGAGCCCGACGATTGAGGACTACGCGAGATCTGCGCACCTGACGGAGAAGCAGTTGGTTAACCTCAACAGCTTAATCGAGGGAGTAGTGCAGCGCAAGGAGATGCACATGGTCCTCCTTGGCATGCCGTTGGGCGCCTGGTCTGAGCTTTTTTATCTCTTCAACAGAATCGTTAGCAGCGGCTTCGTCGGCACCGTCGACTCTATGTGATGCAGATGACTTCTCTTCCATGCAGCGCTCTGCTTCTCACCCATCCACGCGCATGCGTTGACAGCGTCCTAGCGATTCCACTCACATTCGTTATGTAATAACACTATGGACTGCAGCAAAGCACCTTTTCATTTATCTTCAGACATCGAGAATAGTCAGCGTAGCCTGTGTGTCCGTAGGGTTGGCCGTTGCTCGTTCGGTTCCAAAATTTTTTGGGAACTGAATGTACAAAATTTCACAAATATCTACTTGGGGGCTACTAACAGACATGTGTTGCCTCTTCAAAATAAAGGATCTATTTATGAATCCTCACTTTTGCATAAATGTTCTGCCATTATTATCACATGTGTCCCATCAAACTTGTACTGTCTGGGTGGATAAATGCACTGTACATGCTTAATTAATTATTCTGCTAATCAGCCAGAAGACAGTTCTGCTGCATACTAATTACTATCTTTTCGGTACACTGTTCCACGCCCAAAAGTTTAAGAAAAAAGCATCTTATTTGCTGAAACTTTAATTCTAACTTTCACACAGCAGCTGACTACGCATTGGTGGTAAACTCAATTGTTTGCACCTTTCTGTTGCTTAACAATCATTTGTGACTTAAAGTCGCCATTCCTGGCCCCTCTATATATTCCAAATTTTTTTTTACTTTTAAGCAAATACAGCATGAAAGACAATGTTTGCGTTCTCAAGCGTTCTTCTTTGAAAAAAATATGGTGATATGAAGCTTTTTCTTGTCTGAGCGTTTTCAAGTCAAGCCAACTAGATACATTTGTTCCCCTATACACATTCCTTATCACTGATAAAGCATCCAAAGGTTGGATAATTTCGTGTCAATTAATATTCCTCCTGTAACAGGTTGGGGGATTCTTCTACCTGATAAGGTACGACATGATCATAAAAGCTTCCACCAGGATCCAGACCATTTATGAGTTGAAGACATCTCCACCCTTTTTGACGCCCACTTAGCAGCAGCTAATCATTTTAAGCTGATTTTGAGTCATGCAGGTACTTATATTATGCTAAGAAAATTTGCTTAAAATCCTAGCATTTAGTGTTTAGTCCAGGTAACTTTATATTGATGTATTTTTGGAAATTTGCCGAGCTGTTACAGGTCCTTATTTCGATTCCGGCGTTCATTTGCATTTGTCGCCATGGGGCATGACCTATAGGATGAGTATTTTAAATCCTCTTTCCTGTTAGTGTGGTTTAACGTCAACGCGAAGCTGAGGTCTGCATGCTTTTTTTGTAAACTTTCAGTAGAAGTAGGCGCAGAGAGTTTCATTAACTTGCTTTTCGATATTATAGACACGCCCCTGACTCTCCAAATTCTACCTCATTTTTCCAAGTGTTTTGCCATTTGAGAGGGAGTTTCTCTGGCCTTTTAAAGTAACTTGTAAATTGAATGGATAAATGCGTAGGCGTTTATGCCTGCGTGCATGTACAAGCATGTGTAGTTGATGCCTCTGACTACAGAAAGCGCTGTAGGCTAGGGAGGAAGCAATTTCTGTCGGCAGCAATAACCAGACGTTGTCTATACGTGCTTGTTTAAACGGAATTTTCTCAAACTTGTCTACTTAGGGTAGAGTGGATGACTGATCAACCAGGAAGTTCCCAAAGCAAAAAACTTAAATTATTGAAGTCGCCAAGCGTAGAGGTTAGACAAATGATACAATGCAAACACATGCAGTAGATTTCTGTTGTCTTAATAAGACCAATTTGAGTAGCTCGACCTTTGGATACTTGAATATTGTGATGAACACAGTTAGTACTCACTTTACTCCCCCAGTTTTGCCCATATTTAGGTACTCTATAGTGCTATAAGCAATACTATGCACAATTCAACTATATGCGTTTCTGAATACCTGCCATACGACTTTCCATTCTCATACGTTAAAGGGTACCGTTGCTGTTGTAGTAAGCTCAGCGTATCAATTATAGCATATCGGAATCGTGAGATTACCACTAGCTACCATAATTCCTGCTTTGGAAAGTTTTGCAATGATGATCATCTTCAGAGTTCCAATATATCGAGTTTAATGAAATCAGAGATAAATGGAGAGAAGAAAGTAGCCTGTTTTTAGCGTTTTGCGGTGAAATATGCATAGACTCTAACCACGAGCCCGGCATTTTATGCACCTTCAATTAATCTCCCCTATAACTAACTCCAAAGGCACCACTTCAGGTTAACCAAATCTTTTGCAGCCAAACAAACAAAGTTACATTGGCCAATCACCTCAGCTTCTCAGACTATTTGTAAAATATTTCTGCAGTTGTAAATACAAGCTGCCAAATGCATTACTCCCGTACCCAATGCTAAACGTTGGCAGCATACGGGAATGTCAAACGATTACAAAAATGTCCTTTTGGGTTCTCATGAATCGTCACTTGTGATCAAGAAGCATAGAAGCCCAAGGAGCAGCCCACGTCATCACTAACCCAGTCATTTGCAGCTATGATGTAGCGTTGGAGCACGGAATTGGTATCTCACAACT